TACAAGTTCTCAAGAGATTGCAGTCCCAGGAATGCATTTGGTGAAATACTACGTATATCATTGCCWGCCAATGACCTGTGGAATATATAGCATCTGACATGAAAATCCCTGTCAGGCATCGAAAGGCGTCGTGTTTCCCAACATACTTACAGTGTTGTTAGACTGCTGAAGTTTCTAAATACACCACTAGGTAGTGAAATGATGCTGCCTTTTGATAGTTTCCTACGTGTACAGCAAATTATAAAAGATTTAGTAATCTAATTAATACATATTGGAAAACCTATCACCCCAGAATAGGATCAATCAAAGGGCGCGTGTAGTAATAAAAGGATTTATAAATGTCAAAAATAACAAATTCCAACAGCTGGAATAGCCAATTTAATTAAGRCATTTTCACAGCAAGCAATATCAAGGWAGAAAAATGTATGTCTACCCCATCAATAGMCGGGGATTTAACACTGTTATTACATCGTCAATAGACGGGTATTTTATTATGTTTTTACGCTATCAATAGCCGGTGATTTAACACTCTTTTTACGCTTTAATAGCCGGGRATTTAATAATGTTTTACCCCATCAATAGGCGGGGATTTAACACTGTGTTTATACCGTCAAGAGCCGGGTATTTAACACTTTTATTACAGCGTCAATAGCCGGGTGTTTAATAATGTTTTTACGCTATCAATAGCCGGTTATTTAACACTATTTTTACCCCATCAATAGCCGGGGATTTAACACTGGTTTGGCCCCATCAATAGCCGGGGATTTAACACTGTTTTCACACCATCAATAGCTAGGGATTTAACACTGATTTTAAACCATCAATAGCCGGGGATTTAACACTGTTTTTATACCATCAACATGTAGCCGGGAATTTAACACTCTTTTTACAGCTTGAATAGCCGGGGATTTAACTGTCGGTGAGGCGGAGAAATTATCGTCGTCTAAATCAAAGGAAATGATCTATTTGTTTAGCCTCTTTTTTATTAAAATCTTGTCAAATGTACACCCCGGGTATTGCGGGGTCGCGGCTTCAATTGACTGTGGATTATGMTGTACGTACAGCTGTATATTAGAATACACATAACCTCAAACKTTTTAATAAGAAATGCGGTGATAAAACAAACATTAATCAACACTGTATTTTGAGTATGTTTTCGGGATGTTATTCTAGAACTTACGCAGTTTAAAGCTCCCTACCGTCTACTGTTCATTTGTTTCTATAGTTTTGAGCGTCAAAGGAATGATGAAATTTCCCAGTTGGGCGTAAATACCCTCGAGCTAAATTACTTTTTCAGCTTTCGACTTATTTCCTTCATCAGACGACGAACAAACAATTTTAAAGGAAACACTAAGATCCTATAATAGGCTGTGATTCTGGGTTAATACTCTCCCAGCGCATTCATTCTTTTTTCGTTCTTATTTAAAAAACAAGATGATGTACCCTGTGAGCAGAGGAAAATGTTGTTTTTCTAAAGAACAATTTTTTTTTGAACATTCTGCTCTTATGGTACAGCTGACAGCATGCATACGACACTCTTGTCAACTACTGTCAATCTCACTCCAAGCAGATATTCCCCTATTTTATTTGCTCAACTGACTTGTGTTTACGGAATAGCTTTTCACGTTTTATTGCATTGATAGTTTATAGCTACTAAGAGCTTTAATCTTGACTAAACGTTTATAATAGGTACACTGAGCTAAACAAAGAAAAGAAGTTAAGACGTTTTGCCACCCTCAGCACATTAGCCCGATACTCCAGGTTCTATGATACTCAGTGAACTGTCCAATCGTTCACGCTACGTATTTTCGGAAAGGATCTGCTTTTGTTTTATAGCGCTGTTGATAGTAAAAATTGTTGTCTAAATCAGGTAGACTTGAGTCGGTTAGACATATGGTTTAAAAAAACCCTTCTAGGCTAACTAGAAGAAACATTCGTGTCTTAATTGTGCCTTAGATCAACATTATATTTCCTGTCAACAGTAATTACTTGAAGATCTCGMAACTGAAAGAGCTCAAACGGCGAAATACATTAATCACCAAGGCAACAAATCATATCAAGTAAAACGAAAAAATATATTGACGTTAAGTCGAATCGAGAAAGTTCCTATATTGTTGATTTGTCTATTTGAGTGTACACTCAAAAGTTAACGAGAAGAAGTTCTCGTCGATGACAATTTTTCTCCACGTTGATCTGATCGATACGATATTGATAGTGCKCAACGCCTCGAAAGATCGGCAGAAAACTCCTATCRATAGRCAGTACTGTTAACCTCACGTCCTTTTCACGATAAATCTTTAAATATATTTTCAACGATAAAATATTCACGGCAGTGATATCGCACTTTATCGTTCAGCGAAATTTGAAAAAACTAGAATGTTTAGATATTGCATGCGTCGACAATTAACGCTGTATGGACAGTCCAGAGACCTTTCTTGCGTTTAATTGAAAAGCAAAAGTTCGTCTTGGGCCGAGTCGTTAACACTGAAGCTTTGAGGTTTTTAAAAATTGCAGCCAGTTATATGTTAGTTTAATATTCAGTCAATAAGAGTTAAGGTTGATATACCTCCAAAAAGGGGTATTCTAGGAAAAAATTTGTATCCATGCATACTGTAATGTTAACAAAATSAATTATAATTATAGAAATTAAGAAAAGGGTGACTTTATTGGTTGTTACTGGTTGTAAAGTTATTAAAGTTAAACCGACTCTTTTCATTAACTTGTTTACAGTTGTATGTGCTAGAAACTGACTTATGTAATAGAATAAAATATTTTTAATTAAGCAATAAACAGATAACAGTTAATGAACAGCGCGCGATACGGGCGAGCTGGCGCCGAATCAATTTTTTTTAAAGCAAAGTTTTCACCAAAAGTATTTTCGTTTTACTCACATTTCGCAAATTTCAGCAGGATTGATTCCCATATGATGCATATCCTTTATATCTTTTAGTTGTTTCGTTTCCGTGTTGCCTGAAGATGCGCATCTTTTCACAGTAAGTTGAAAACTTTCCACAATGAGGATTGTCTTGCTCCATAGAAAAACGAAAGCATAAAGTTGCTTGGCCAACATACCGCTTTCAATCTAGTGTCAGTTATCTGTGGCAACTTCAAATGAAGAGAAGACTTTTTACAAATACATGACAATCTTTTAAACTGAGCACGATTTTTAAGTGGATGTAAATTATATACTGACAAGTCTCATTTGATTGGAGAATCGGTATCACATGTACTTCTCCTCCGGGGGGAAGGAGGAATTCCATCAAACAGAGAGGACAAGCTTGAAGTGCATCTTTCAAGTTTTAGTGAGAGAGAACACTTGAGATTTGTTGAATTATTGAACTTATTGAATCAGAGAGATTCTTGTTTTTCCCATGACGTCATCGCTTATTGAAAACCAAACTTTTTAATCCAATTTTTAATAAATTTATGCTCTTAATGTGTAGTAATAAACCACCGGGAAAAAAATTTATGAAGCTTCAGGACTTACAGACTTTGCCGTAGAGATTTAGAATTTGAAAAAGATCGCATGAAGTGTTTATATTAGATGTAACATTTTCGACTGAAATTTCTAGCAATTTTTATTAGGTTTTGTATAGATTTTCTTAAATGACTTTGAATATAATAGAGTGTTTAATACTTCAGCGAATTTTAATAGCTTTGGTGATATATTTTCGCATGTTTTACATGTAATAAGACAACCGTCTGCCATCTGGGTTTATCACAATTGGTACCCATGATGCTGCGCACGTTCTTATCACTTTTATTGATTGTACATCCAGTAAAAATTCTTGAATATTATAATATTATATCGACGCAACTGATCTCATCTCTATTACCTTCGAACTATATCTGATTGCTCCTATCCTACTTTGAAAGAGTTTTGCTTGACATAAATTCACTTTCCACTTTCCGCGTTGACATAAGCCAGGRACTTTCTCCATAAATATCAACTTTAAATTACTATATTTAAATACGGTTTCGGTTCTAGGTCGCTAATCCCTAATCCCAACAGCTCAAAGACCGTTTTCCATTCTTGTTAAAACCCTCGAGAACAATAGAAATACTCTGGGATTGGAACACTACGTATCTAAGGGTGCCGMGTAGTTTTMAAGCAGAGTGAAAAACGACACGGCTGAAGTGACATTTATTTACTCTCAAAAAGCATAAAATGCTAACGATGTTTGATTAATTTTCAATTTTATAACGTTAAATCAAACAGTCTAATGCGGAAATCACAATTCACACCTACGCCTCTTCAATCATAGAGRAAAGAAACTATCCAACATGTCAGTTGACACGATTYCATGAYGGATGGCGATACTTTGTACTTAACAAAATAATTTTGTACGTGTTTGTACATGATGTTTGCGTCTCAAATKTCAATCTGAAGAAAAGAAAATTAGAAGCGATTACTTGAGATTTGATGTCAATAACAAGACTTCAATAGGAAGTAGTAGAATCAATCTAACCCTCTAAAAGCATTCWCAGCAGGTACTAGTTACCAAACACTCAAGTTTAATAAAGTAGTTTTATAAAAACACAGCAATGAGCTTTTTCAGAACTACGGAAGATCTACATAAAAACTCTAGGAAAACATCGCTAATACAAGAAAAAAACACATTGTTAATGCTTCAAACATTTTATTTTAAACAAATTATTTGTGCCCMTACTGATTTCTAAATATTATATCTATATATGGTGACCCCTTTTGTGAAAAATTACATTCAAATGAATGTTTTATCATTATAAATTAGTGCTCAAATCATAATTGGAAAAAATTGAATGATTGTATTGTCGCTTGCTCACATACAACTGGTTKAAAAACAATGACGGTAAAAAGACTGGCAGAGGTTTTTTTGTGGTTAACGTCTCGTAACGAGACTCTAGCCACYATGCTTCTTCCTTGGAAAATGTTTTCATGGTCAGTTTGTAATATTTCTCTGGAAATCTTACATTGTTGGAACATGAATGCAATATGGAAGGCCACGGTTTTATGGGGGGTGATAGTCGAAATATTGTTTTTCTACCGTCAACATTTTTATAAACCACAGCATGAAGAGCCTCCAGTCGGTGGTCGACCTAAGTCTTGATGACCGTCTTGACGGGGGTGGCATACTTGTTGAAGTCAAAGTCAGTGACGCGAATACACCGATCCTGACAATCRCACGAGTTGCTGCAGTGGGGACTCAGGAACTCCATGTCATTTTCAGCCCAAACACTAGCGAGATCGTTCACCAATCGGTCCATCATGTCTTCGGTGTGCATGGGGGTGGGTGCAATACGAAGTCGTTCCTCTCCTCGTGCTACGGTAGGGTARTTAATGGCCTGGATGTAGATGTTATGCTTGGACATGAGATCGTTAGAGACCTTGGTACACTTTGCTGGGTCACCAACCTTGTAAAGGAAAATATATTACGTTATTTCCAGGAAATAATAAAAGAGTTTTTCAAGTTTAAGACGATTACTCACATGAATAGGCACAATATGGGACGGAGCAGCAATGACAGGAAGACCACGTTGAACAAGCTTGTTGCGCAGCCTCTTGACAACAGCTTGATGCTTGCTACGAAGCTGACGACCCTCCTCGCTGGCCAGAATCTCAATGGACTTCCTGGCAGAGTTAATGATGACAGGAGGGAGAGAGGTTGTGAAGATGAAACCTGCTCCATAGCTACGAATGGTGTCAATCAACGATGCAGAACCGGCYACATATCCTCCTACTCCACCAAACGCCTTACCAAGGGTACCGGTGATAATGTCCATATCATGTACGAGACCTTCTCGTTCACCAACACCTGCACCGTGATCACCATACAAACCAACAGCATGGACCTGCCAGGAAGAAATTAGGCAAACATAAGATGACACTTGTACT